GATAATCAACAGCTGATTTTGTTTCCAGGAAGTTCCTTGTTCCCCAGAGATCATTAACTGCACGTCATGAGTCATTACCCTTGAATAAGACAAATGTTTTTCCCTTATGAATACTTAGTTAACTCAAGTATAAAATGAGAAACTTGGGTTACAGTGTTCAAATAAGAATCACTATATAAATGTCAAATCAAAGTGTGGGTGAGTAATCAAAGAGGAAAATTATTTTTTAAAAAAATCATTACTAAGATGACCAAAATGCTTTTGAGGGTACTTTTTTTTAACTAGGGATTGAATACAAGAATACTCTCCCACTAAGCAACATCCCCATTTTTTTTTTTTGATACAGAGCTTTGCTATGTTGTTGAGGATCTTGCTAATTTTCCAAGGCTGACTCCAAACTTGTAATCCTTCTCTCAAGCTCCCAAGGCTCTGGGATCATAGGTGAGTGTCACTGGGATTACAGGATGTACTACCATGCCTGACTTGACTGTGCACATTTTAGAACAAATTCTGCTTTGCAGATGCTTATGTTACTCAGGTAAGCATAGTCCACATTTCTTTTTTCCAGCAAACACTAAATCATCAATGAAACTAAATAATTAAGAACACAAATATGTAAAATGACATTAGAAATTTTATCCATGAGAATCCAACTCCTCTCTTCTGGGCATCCCACCCTGCTCACTCATGTACTCATTCAATGACCCCGAAAAGGGAGCTTCCATTGAATCAAACATTGGCTGCTGAACAATGGTAGAAAAATGAAACTACTGCGTCCCAGACTTCAGCGCACAGTCTGCAGGGAGAGTGTGCAGATACCCAAACAGGTGGGACACACAATTTCTGGAGGAGCTGATATTTGAACAAGCAGGAGTCCATCAAGTTTCAGGGTCTGCTGCCAACGTGGTGTTGTTGGACAGAGGAACTGTCCAGCAATGCTCCCTGTGGCTCTTCGTTCTGGCACCCAAAAAGCAGGGACATTCCCTTTTTGGGCCATGCACAGAAATTCCAGGGGGACTGAGCTGCCAAATGTGGTAGCAGATAAAGCACTTATCACACATCTTGTTGGCCAACACATGTCAGTCACAGGACCCAATCCAATGTCATCGGGTGAGGCAGTAAGGTTGACCCGTATGCATAGTTCCATTTCAGGAGAAGTACAGAGTTGAGAACTAAAAATGTAATCTGCTACAGGAATTAGAGAGCAGATAACTCAGTAGGAATAATGCACCTGGAAACAAAAGATGCGTCTGAAGCCTAAAGCAGGAGCAGTACATCCTGTACAAACACAGTCCCTGGAGGTGAAAACCTTCATGCTTTTTAACTCCTTATATTTTTCTCTCTGCAAAGTGAAAAATCCACTTAAGTCATATGAATTAATCTACAAAAATATAATGCTTAGCCAAGTACTTGGCACTGGCCAGGTTGGTATTCATTATGTATTTGATAAATGGATCAATGCATAAATGAATGGCTGGGGAGCCAGCCTTTCTTAACAGTGTTCATTTAGGGGTGAGGGGCACACATAAGAGCTTCTGCAGCTCTTGGGACTATGGATCACATCACTATTAAACTTCAAGATAACTGTTCATTCGTTCACTCTCCCCTACTCTGTGCTGGTGGTAACGTTGGAGAAAGTGTCCTCTATATCTAATCTAGGTCTTGCCATTGGGCCAGGCAAGTAAGAAGAGATCAACAGTATTCTTTGATTCCTAATTATTAGCAGTGTTGTGATGCCAGGACCACTTCATTTATAAAAGAGCTGAAGCCAAGAGATGCTCAATGGCCATGTGCCACTCCTTGGATAACTGCCAACCGTGGGATTGTTTAAGTCAGCCTGTCTCCAAAACTAGCATTGGCCACACTACTCCATATTTACTCACATAGATCAATTCAAGCTGAGACACAAGATGTCTCATATGTTCACTAAAGAAAATATAAGTAACTTGTACAAGTTAATAAGAAAAACATAACACCCAATAGAAATGAGGACAATCAAAGAGGGTTGTCTGAAAACACAAAGCATGCAATTTACAAACTGCAGAAGGATATTCAACCAGATTAATGATGAAGAAAATGCAGATTAAGAGCACAGTATGCTACTATTTTATACTCATTTAATTAGCAAAAGTCAAAAATCCAAACAACATCAGATGTTGGAAATTTTCAAATCCACAGGATCCTTTCTGTGTTACTGGTGGATGTGCAACAGCTTTAATTTCTTTAGAAAATAGTTGGATATTATGTGATAAAGAGAAAGGAATGATAGAGAATTTGGAGTAATGGTTATTTGAGGCTTATATATGAAAAAGATAGAAAAGGACTCCACACACTTACTGTCAACACCAGGTTTGATTTGTGGATTCATGGATGTTCATCACATTATTTCATATTCATTAAACTTAACTTTAAAATGTTAAAAGAGAGTAATACATGAGTCAATGATAAATTTCACTGCCAAGGATGATAACTAATGGAATTGCACTTGAGGTCTTTTAAGAAAGCAATAGAAATGGTAGAGCTTGTGCATTCAATACCTGTGCTTAGAGTTAAAATGAAATACTGATCTTGAGGGGAAATCCTCAACACCTTGAAAGTCTTCTTAGTGCAAGTCCAGGGATAGAAAGAGGGTAGTCCCCAGGAAAGAGAGTGCCTGGGATCAGAGGCTGGTGAGAAAAACAGGGATCCGAAGTCTGAGAATATTGTCAGGGTCTACAGTCACCTACTGTGAAAAAGACAGTGGTTAGCAGAACACTCATGGGAAGGAATGGACAGGAAAGGCAGGAGGACTCCATGCCGGATGAACAATCAGGATGTGAAGATTTACAGGAAATAAGGGAGACAGTAGTAAGGCTGAAGCACAATTCAGAAGAGAAGTTGCACAGAACCTCGTATAAACATACAACAAGATATTGCTCCACTGGCTTCAGGTCTGTTCCTGGCCACTCTTAGGTCTGTTGAAGGTCATTTTCTCTACCTGGACCCCAGCATCTTCCTAGGATGTTTTTCTCTTTAATGAAGCTTTCCTGAGGCTCAAATGGTAAAATAAACATAAATACTCATTGGAAATTACCAAATGCCTAATAAAGATGAGAAAGTGCTACTATTTTGCTCATTAAAGGTATTGAAGATAGAGAAAGCATGTGAAAGGTCAGGATGTCGCTGATATTTTTAAATACCCATTCACCTATTTACCCCCACTAGTGGATGATAGGTTTTTAAAGTTGTTACGGTTTAGATATTAGATGTTCTCCGAAAGCTCATGTGTAAGATAATGCTAGAAAGCTTAGAGGTGAAACGATTGTTTTATGAGAATCTTAATCTAATCAGTGTGTTAATCTACCAATAGGGACTAACTGGGTGGTAATTGTAGGCAGGTAAGGTGTGGCTGGAAGAGGTGGGTCTCTGAGTCTGTGCCTCTGTGCCTTTGGGGTATATATTTTGTTCTTATTGAATAGAGAGTTCTCTTTCTGCTTCCTGGTGGCCATGTTCTGGGCCACCTTCCTCCACCACATACTTCTGCCAGGATGCTCTGCCTCACTCCAGACTAATGGTTATTTGAGGCTCCAAGGAATGGAGCTGGCATCCATGGACTGAGAGCTCTGAAACCATGATCCCCCAAATAAGCTTTTCCTCTTAGCTCATTAGCTGGTTCCACTAATAGATTAATTTCAAAGAACTGTGTGGCTGGTCTGTTTGCAAACCAGCTCCCCAATGACAATGGGGTTACAACTCTATCCCTTCTAACTCACTTCCACATAGAGGGTACCCTAGATTTTCTGAGAGAGAAATATAATCATAAAATTCTGCTTAAAAATTATCTTGAGCTCATGAAAGTTTAAAATAATAAATGTTGGAAATCCTTAGCAACACTTGTAACATGTCCTGTCTTCTCCTGTGAATTCCAGTCTCATCTGCAACAGTTACAGAGATCTACTGAATTTTAGAAATGTGCCATGCTGCCTCCAAGATTTCAATATCCCACGCCCTTCTTTGTTACTGGAATTCTCTGAGCATTCTTTGCTTAGTGTCTTCCAGATAAGCCTCAGGTTACCCAGTAGCTGAAACTCACACATCTGCTTTCCTCATCAGTCTCAGGATCTGGTCTTGTTGACACCCACAGCATTTCCTGCAATGGTTTCTTGCTGGTTTAAATTCCTCATGCAAAGAACACACCTTCATCTCTTAACTCCAGCACCAACCATTATGCTCAGAATTAAGGATATGCTCCATGCATGTGTCATACAAGGAGAGAAGAAAGAAACTTGGCTTTCCCCGAGGCAAATAGGAGATACTCGTGATGAGAAGCCTGAGACAGAGACAGAGTTTCTCACAAATCTACACAGTGATCTGCATGGACAAGGAGAAAAATAAGTAGTAATATTTTGAGCTTCTCAAATTTGTCCAGCACTCAACAGCTTATTTCTTATGTAACACTGACTCTGGAATTTAATGTGATTTTATTAACAGTAATTTGTTACAAGTATAATATGTGAAGTTAGGTGATAGATGCAGATTCTTGAAAAATCATTTTAACATGTCAGAAAGACAAATGGATTAGTTAGAATTAGAATTTATGAAAATGGATGTGGCTCTTCATTAACCTGGCCAAATCAAAGCCTTATATGAAGGGAAACCATTTGATTCTTCCTTACTGAAGTGTTATTGCCAGGAAGGGTAATGCAGTGAAAACACTCAATTGTGTTCAATTTCAAATAATTACATCTGCTTCCTTTGATTAGTACTGCATAATATTTTTGCTGTACCTGTTTGTAAATATGTGACTTCGAATATTGTAATTTCTTTATATCACTAGAAATAAAACTTGCTAAGGAATATATCTTGCCTTTGTCATATTTCTTTTTAGGTCCGTAAGTTACTAATATGAATTCAGTTGTGTATTCCCACAAACTCATACATGAAGTCCTGGACACCCAGTGGAGATGAAGCCTTTAAGTTGGTATGTCAAAATCCATTAGGTCACAAAGGTAGAGCCCTAATCCAATATCCCTGGTGTCCTTATAAAAAGAGTAAAAGACAGCAGAGCCCTCTTTTGCTCTGTGCATTCAGAGAAAGGGCCAGAAAGACAGGTCTTACCAGACACCAATGGTTCTCCTCCACACTCCAGCTTCTGAAACTGTGAAGAAAAAAACAAAGTTTGTAGTTTCAGCCATCAAGTCTGTGTCATTCTGTTATGGCAGCCCTAGAAGACTAATACAGTTCCATATGGTTAAATACCAATTGAAATGTATATTGCAATATGTTTTATCATATGCATTTACTCATGTATTTCTCCTCCCAATTGGAAAAGAGGACATTTCTAGCATTCCTGTAAGATCCCCTCTGTCACCTTCCAAGAAATTCCAGCCTCTACCTCCGATCTAGAGGCAACTGCTGCTCCAAATTAAGTTTTAAATTCTGATACAAGTTTTGCTTATAAGTTAATTCCAGATAAATGGCATTAGCAATATATATATTGGTTTGGTTCTGAATTTATTAGCTCAAAATAATGTTTTTGAGATTAATATATATCATTTTACTTATCACTACCTAACATATATACATACATATACATATATATTTTTATATGTTCATTTTTCTGATTGTTTCAGTTGATTTATTAACAATAGTTTTTTTTTTTTTAATCACTGAACTGATTGCTGCCTTTTGTTAAGATTATTTAACATGGTAACTCGGAGTGTATTTGTAGAAACTATGATTTATTGCATTGATCTCTTTATTTATATTAATGAAAAATTCACACTCTCTTGATTACTGAAGTTTTATGTCAAATATAGATTTGTTATTTTCTGAAACATTTCTGACATTTCTAAGTTTAGGATATGAAAATATAACTTTCAAATTACTGAACAAAACTTTCTTATAATCTGATTAATTCTATGTTGAATTCGTTGACCAGTTTGAAAAAAAAAATTATGTTAGGATAATATTGACCCTTTAAAAGGAGAAAAAATATATATTTCTATATTATTAGTTTTCTAAATTTGCTTCAGCAATGTTTTATAATCTACATTTAAGGGTTGCAAATTTCTAATCACTTTATTTTTCTATTTCTACTCCAATCAAGCATATAACATTTGATATCATTATTTGATATTTATTATGATTTGACTGTTAAATATAATTGTATCTGCAAATTTGTCACAGATGTTTTTTATTAGTTTGAAGAAGTCACCTTTGATGTTTCACGGGTTGTGGGTTTGATCAACTGATTTTCTGCCTTAAGTGAGATGATTTAGAGGACAGCCTTCTTTATCTGTCAATATCAGGAGATTCATTGACTTATCTTGTAGTGATAAAGCAGTTTTGCATGCCTTGGATAACTCTATCTTGATCATGGTTCACTCTCTATTTTACATATTGCCAGCCATGATCTGTTAATGCTTGAAGAGATCTGTGTCTGTTAATTAGAGAAATCTGAGTCTTACACTTTTGCAATGTCTTTGTTTAGATTTATTGTCACAACAGATATTGTGTGACAATAAAATGTGTGCAAAGTATTTCCTTTTCTATTTTCCAAGATAATTTGTGTAATCTTTAAGGACTTGTTTCAAGTCCCCAATGAAGCACTGTAGGCCTTGAGTCTCCCTTGTGGAAAGATGAGTTAATTTTCTTTAGGAGGCATGGAGCTAATTGGATCTTCTATTTCTTCTTGAGACAGTTTTGGTGGTACATTTTCAGCAAATGTTTCCATTTCACTGAAATTGAAGACTTTATTGGCATAGAAAATTTTATAGTTATCCATTAAGTTACTTTCAATATTAGGATTCTTAGGGGCATGTCATTTCCTTCCCACTTGATATTGGTAAGCTGTGTTTTTGTTACTAACTTTAGAGATCTAAGGAAGGATTAGTCTAACTGCTATTATTCTTTCTCCTTAAAAGCAGATCATTAACTCTTCTTTTACTGTTTCTTAAAGTTTAAGCTCTAATTATTAGTTTTAAAGCTGCCTCCTCTTTAATGAAAAAATTTGAAACAACAGATTTCTCTGTAATTGTACTTTAGCATCACCCTATATATTGTCATAATATTATAAATATCCATTGGGTAATATAACATTTATTATTATAATCTTATTTTATTATTTTCTATTATTTTAATAATAAATGATAAAAGACATTATAAATTATTTCTTTCATTTGTGGATTATTTTAAGGTTTTTCATTTACTGCCAAATATTTAAAATTGTTACATATTTTTATTTAGTTTCTAAGAGGTAGATTTTGCATGAATTAATGTTTTAAAATTTTTGTTGAGGTATTTTATGGAAGAACATATGGACCTTGTTGTGAAAAGAATGGCAAGGAAAAACCATATGCATTAGACAATTTGGGGATAATCTATAAATATCAATTAGGAAAAGTAGGTTGATGGCGTTTTCAAGTTATCCTATTATTTTAGGATAACTGAAAAACTAGACTTGGTGATATCATCACATCATTATCCAAAGTACATATATGAAGAAAATTGTGCTGAATATATGTAATAAGAATTGGAACGAATTCTGCTGTCATTTATTTTTAAAAAATAAAGATTGTAAAGATTGTTTTGTGTCTCCAGCTGAAATTCTTGATTAAAAAAAAATCTGTGGCTTTAGTTTTATCCATTTTTACTCATGTATTTTCAGTCTCTGTTATTACCTGAATTTTAGGATTCTTATACCTCCTTGAAATCAATAATACTTTATCACTATAAAATTCTCTTTGTTATTAATAATACTCTTCATCTTCAAGTTTACATTATGGAACAATATTATAGTCACTTCAGGTTTTTAATGGTTATATCTTATCCCACCATTCTACCTTTAACCTACTTATATCTTTGTATTTAAAATAGATTCCATGTAAACAGCACATAATTTGATTATTTAATTTAAATCTAGTGTGCTAATTCTACATTTTAATTGGAAACTTAGCACATTTACATGTATCATCTTCCCATTTACATGAAATCTAAGTATTAATATGATTGGATATAAGTCCCCTGATTTGCAATTTTTTAAAAAAAATTTACTTGTCTTTGTTTGTTTCTATGTTTTGTTATGTTTCGTGTGTGGATTAAAGCCATGAGATCTCTGTTGCAAAGACCTCAAACCAGTTTCATGTATTTTGTCCAGTTTCTGATGTCATTGCTGTCATTTCTACAGACAAAGAATAAGTCCTATATCCATTCTCTGTCCTTACCAAAATAAGTGTGCTTTTCCTATCAATCAGTTTTAAAATATAATAATAAAACACAAATATTTCCAGCAAGACACCATGATCTTTGGGCCCTTAAACTAGGAAAGGGTGTGCTTTACATACTGAATTATCAGTTATGTGAGTTGATGTGGAAAAGAAACTTGGATTATGGACCAGCCTTAGAGGAAGTGCTTTTGAGGGAAAATGGGTCAGAGCCTTAGGTCATGCCCTACTGAGTCCAATTACCAAATTGTCCATGTGGAAAAAAAAATCTCTGCTAGAGAGAGTCAGCTATTCAACACATCATAAATAAAAGAGAAAATTCAAAAAAAAAATCAGAACATTTATTGGTGAGTCAGATGCAAAGGTCAAATAGAAGCAAACTGGAGAATACCCTACTATCAATAGAATCACTATAATCAAATAAGATTCAGTTGTATTCAGTGTTTCTCATAGAATGACCTAAAGGCCATTTAGGTTGTGATCACCTGAGTTACTTATTAAAAATATGCATTCCAAGACCCCACCTGTATCTTGTAAGAACAAAGAACACTATTATTTTCCATTTGTTGAAAATTACACAAAGTGCTTCATGTAGATTATTTCAGTCAGCACTTCCAACAACATTATAGAATGGTTGCTATGGTTTGGATGTGATATGAGGGCTCCCCCCTGAAGATGCATGTGCTAGACCCTTGGTCCTCAGTGTGGTGGCGCTGAGCGGGTGAAAACTTTACAAGGCACAGCCTAAAGGAAGGTGGTTTGCTGGCTGGGGATCCTGAGTAGACCTAAGATGAAAGTAGTTCTTGAGCAACCCTGGTTAGTTCCTATGAGGGAGGGTTATATAAAAAAGAGTAAGCCTGGGCTTTGAATTCCTGTTACACACTACCTTCCTCTGTGTCTGCTCTCTCCTCTCATACACACTCCTGCCATGATGCCATCTGCCATGTTGTGATGGAGTTAGAGGTCCTCCCCCACCAGAAGCTGAACTGATGGGACTGCCCTGTGTTGGACTTTCAGCCTCCAAAATTGTGAGCTAAATAAATCTGTGTACTCAGACATGGTCTGGTCTATTTTCTGAATTATAACAAGATGAGAACTAAGCTATTAATTCTTATTAAAATCATCACTTTATTACAAAAAAGAAATTTAGACTTAGAAAAGGACTTTGTTTTCTCCAAGTTTATACAAGAAAGGTCAATCTTATGTACACAGAAGTTTAGAATAACTGGCTTATATGTAATAAAGTTGCCCTCAGGATGATTAGGGGGTTGATGATTACAGTGTATAAAAGAGAATTATACAAAAATTTTAGAAAGTGGTGATAGAAAAATTTTCTCCACTGGTAGCTTCTCTGTTTTTCTTCATTCATTTAAATAAATCAGTGGTAAGGTATATAGAAGTCAAGTTAAGCACCCATTTTGGGAAAGGGACATGGACATACAGACCCACTCACCCTTCCTTCCTTCCTTCCTTCTCTCCCTCCCACTTTATTTCTTTCCTTCCTTCTTTTCTTTCTTCTTTTCTTCCTTCCTTCCTGTCATTTGAAGTGCTGGAGATCAAACCCAAGGCCTTGCACATGCTGGGAAAGCATTCAACTATTGAGCTACATTCCCAATCCAGACTACACCTGCTAAAATCTTCACTACTTCTCAAAATCATCTCACTGAGGATCACATTTCCAATGTGTGACCCCTTGGGGGACACATTCATACCATATCCAAGCTACAGCAATAAGACTCTGCCTAGGAATTTCAGGAAGTTCCAACCAAACCCAAGAAGAGTTAGGACTCAGAGATCACAAGAAGCTGTGCTTCTGAAGTCCTCATTTCAGGCAAGATTTTCAGCCAGAGAGCGGCTGTCACATGCTCCTAAAGTATTTGATGACATTGCTGTTTCTGTGGGTCTGGTGTCCCAGAGGGGTTCATCGGGTGGTTCTAACTCAGGGTCTGTTATGGGAATCCTTTAAGCAGATGACTGGGGCTGCAGTCATCTGAGTTGTTGACAGCATGGTTTCTCCCTGAAGACTTTGGTTCCTCACTCTATGGGCCTCTTCCTAGTTGTCTCTATAACTTTTTAGCATGGTGACTGAATTTCCCCAAAGTAAGAGGTACAGAGAGACAGGGTGATGGCACACTGCTTTCCGTGATCTAATCCCTACATCACACAGTCCATTCTATTCACTAGAAGTGAGCTACTAAACGCAGTGTATACTCAATGGGACCCGATACAAAAGGACGCAGTCTCCCAGGGTCAAGGACCATTGAGGAACATATGGGAGACTGAAACTCCAAAGTAACTGTGTTATTAGCATTTAAGGTCTGCTGTTTCTTTTTCTTGCTGGGGTGAGAATAGCAATGAGAATTGGAGTTACAGAATTGCTTAGATAGTGACAAAAGAAAGCGCCAGTGGTGTGCAGATTCTGGATAATTAACTGTTTTATGTCAATGCCTATTCTCACCATCTGCAACAAATATTCCAAACTCTGAATTATAATTTAAGATACGTTCCTTTTGCAATGTAATATATGTCATACATTTTATGTTCTTAAGAAAAATTATATTCATTGTTTAACAACAATAATAAAAGTTGGAAGGAAAATCCCTTGAAATCATGCCACAAAGAGATAACCACTATTAATATTTTGATGTACATTTTAGACTTTTTTTAACTTTTTAAAAAAATTTTGAATCCATATAAGCATGCATACATCTATATTTTATAATTTTTACCTAAATGTATAACAATGTTGCACCTGCTTCTCAGTAGTGGCTTTCTTCACTTGATAATATGCTATGAGCTATTTTCCATGTCAATTCATATAGTGCAATTCCATCATTTCAGAGACTGCAGTGGTCCCATTGTGTGATGCTCTGCAATTTACTCCTCTCTTTGCTTATTATTCAATGTTGGGGTGGGTTATGTTTGTGTTTTTGAGGAACTGAATGTGCAGCTGTGCAGATGACCAGCTACACCCAAATCCCAAATACAGAGCATATACCACCCTTGTTTTGTTTCCTTTTTCATTTTTACATTTTATTGGAAATGTCAATGTCTTACAATTAATTGTTAAAAAAAATCAAAATTTATATAAGGATTTCAAAGCTAGCAGAAGATGCAAAGAAACATGTGACTTGGGAAAGCACTTACCCCAAGTTTTTCTGAATAACAATAACTCCATTAATTTTATGGGAAGACACACAACTCAGTTTATCTCCATTGTCTCACATCACATGACTCACTGGAAACTCAGAGAGACATTGTTCAGAGTCATTGGTGCCACTAGCAGCAAAAAAAAAAAAAAAAAAAAAAGTTTTAGCTAAAGACACATTGAATGAGTACTGAGCATTTGAGTGCTGGCTGCACCTCCATTGTCCTAAGCCCATTTAACTCTCCTAGACTTAATCCCATAACTGGAGTGCCACATCATATATCACCAAACTGGGATGTGTTAGAAGTGAAATATGTTATTATTAGGCATATGGGATAACTGACACAAGACAAAATTGTCCTACTCAAATTGGGACATAGGGTCAGCCGAAATGTAACAGCTGAGGAAAGATACAGATTGCTAAAGGGACTTGTCCCCATCCATAACTGGTAATTTAGCTGGGAATCAAAATGAAACCTCATCTGTTCCGTACCCATTGCTTTTCTATGGATTTTCAGGTCCTAAATTTCATCGCAAGTTTGTTCTTTGGTTGGGTCCACTTCTCCCTAATAGGGAGGATCTCATAGATTTAACGGTTTTTTTTTTCCTGTTGGAATTGCTTTCTTGGATATATATCTCTGTAATACTCACATATTTATTCTTCCTCAGATTTGACAATTATTAAATGCATGCACTGGGTGTCTTCATATATACCTTCTTATTCATTTTCATGCAGTTTAGGAAATGCAGAGGGGTAGTTCTTTGGTTCACCACTAGAGAGAGTGCTGGCCAAGATTTTGTGTCCGTAGCCTGCAAGTTCAACACCTTCTGTAAAAGGAAACAAGAGTTTTTGCTTCCTACATCTTGGAGAGAATGAGACACATTTGTATATATCCCTAAAGTCTTTTCTCCTTAATTCTACATCTAATCTGTATTTGTTTTGATTTTTAGCTCTCGATTGAGTTTTAACATATATCAGAAACTTCTGCTGTTCCATCTGGGGCAGTTCCCCCAGAAAATTTAATCTTCTTTCTCTTCCATAATCCCCCATGTTTATCCCTATCCTTTAAACTCACAATTATAGACCATACTCACCTATTCCTATTTCCATGTTTCCATTCTTATCAATATGCGCTCATGAAGGACAGTATGTCCATATTAATTTAACTCTTTCCAGTGCAAAGGTGGTATTTGGTCAGTGGTAAGGAAATGAATTAATAAATGAGTAAAACCAAAGGATATGTGATAATATAATATGCAATGGTGCTAAAGAAAGTCAATATTTTAGGATGGTTGTCCTGTGATGGGAGCACCTCTGATTGGGGTATTAAAACTAGATTTTAAAATTTAAAGAAAATAAGGTATAACCTGAAGAAAAAAAAAAAGAAAGCAAGTGGCTCACTTATTAAGCTTCTTTCCAACCTTTTTAATAGAAAGAAAGAGAAGGTGACTTTCCCATGTGTTTTGAGAGTCCCTAGCTAAACAGATTCTAGCACTGAGCAGCTAGGGAGATCAAGGGGCATTAGACAGGGGTGCTTACTTTGTGCCTTGGATTACTTCCTTACCTGGCAGGATTGCTGAATTCCTAGGTCTAGGACCTTAGGGTAGAAGTCTCCCACAGGGAACACTTGATCATACTGGACGACTCCCTTGTAGTTCTTTTCTGATCTTTGTTCAATTTATAATATTAACCATTGCTCTGGTATGGTTAATATTTTCCTGGGGAAAACGCATCCTGGGGCAGGCCCTGTATGTAGATAAAGAGCATATGTTTAATACATTGCCAAAACAAGACACACATTCCAAGACTTTACTTACAGATTCTAGGTAAGGAGGGTGTGAGAAGTTGGAATAAGCTGTCCTTTATCCCTGGTTCACTGGAAGCAGGGATGAAGAGTCAGGTAGAAAGAGAGAAAGAAATGCAACAAGTGATCTATATAAAAGAATAAGGAGCTGGTCACCGCAAGTTGTTGGAAAAATTCCTGAATGATCCATGTAAAAGAAACTTTAGGAAAGAAAGGAATCCATGCTGCTAGGTAGGAGAAACTCCTCCTAGTTGTTATCTCTGGCTACCAGCCTGAGCAGACCAGAAACTGTGACTGACTCTTGCTTCTGGCATGAGAAAGTAAAATTTGCATTCCAAATGAGAGCTGAGACAACTTAGAATTATAAGAATGCACTACACCATGTTCCTTAAAAAGAGAAATCCTCAGTGTAAGCCAGAAAACAGTGACTTGGGGCAGATCATATTTTAGTGAGAAGGACAAACGTATCAGAGTGTCACCTACATTTGTGCTTCTTTTTGAGACATCAGATGGAACTAGATAAAACAATGGATAGTATGGGGCCCAACTTTAGCTCATGAATATTTATTTACATTTTAAAAAGCCAATACTTATGAATACCTATGAAATTTATTTATTTTTTTTTCTTGAATTTTAAGAAAATGTTCCATTTCTTTTTTTAAAATCACAGCACACTTTGAGGATCTTGGGTAACCTTAGCACTCAGGGTAGTTAACACTACTGTTGCATCTGGTAATTAACTACCTGAAATCATCAGCATTTAATTAAAATGTTGAAAAGAACAGGGCAAAAGACCAGCCCCCAGATGCATTGCTGGAGACCTCTGTAGAGTTTGACATTGATACATTCTTTCCTTGCTTATAATTTATGTGATCACCGGTGAATTTAATGATTATACTGTCATGTAATCCACATTTCTGTATGTTGAACATGATGAGACCAGAAGATTGTTCACCAAATTCTGTCTAAAATCAGGTAAAAACCACATCAGAGTCTAAAAGGGCTGTCAGAAATTCTAAAAAAGTCTAGTTTGCACTGACTCATTCTCTGTAAACGAGAGCTTTTTTTTTTTTTTTGGTGATTCATTTAATCATTGAATACATTCATATTTCTAGTGAATTTTCTGTATTAGCCATTGCGTTAAACTCTTGTTTCAAATACTAGTCTTTTATATTTTATATCTTCCTTGGTCTACTTTTTTTATGGTAGCTTTTTTTTAACCTTTTATTTAATTAGAGCATTATAGATATAAATAGTAGTTGAGTTCATTTTGACAAAATGCTCTATGCATGCAATTTGATTTAAATCCCTGCCTCGCCCCTTACTCTTCCCTTCTCTATCCCCCATACTCTCCTTCCTGAACTGATCTTCCTTTTATTCATTTCTTTATTTACTTTGATTGGGGTTTTCTACATATACATAAAGGTGAAAGTTCCTGTGGTATATTTATATATGCATATGATGTGATCTTGTTACATCCAATCCATGTTTCTCCACTTTTCCATCCTCCTCTCTCTCCCTTGATCTCCTCCTTCTACTCAATAAATAATCTTCTCTAGGTCTTTATGATATCTGATGCCCTCACCATTTTTTTCTGTATTTTGCTCTAGGTTCCACAGATGAGGGAAAACATTTGTCCCATGATTTTCTCAGTCTGGCTTATTTCATGTAGCATGACGTTCTCAATTTTCATCCATTTATGGGCAAATATTATAATTTTGTTCTTTATGGTGGAGTAAAACTCCATTGTACATAAATACCACATTTTTTATCCATTCATCTACTGACCAGCATTGGGCTGATTCCATAATTTGCCTATTGTGAATTAAGTTGGTATGAGCACTGAAGCAGCTGTATCACTATAGGATGCTGATTTAAGTTCTTTTGGGTAAGTAACAAGGAGTGGCATAGTTGAACCATATGGTGATTCAATTCCTAATTTTATGAGATATCTCCACACTGCTTTCCAGAGTGGGTGTACTAATTTGCAGTTCTACCCAAAATATATCAGGATACCTTTTTTCGACATCCTCACCAGTGTTGATTATTATTGTGATGTTCTCAGTTGCCACTCCGAGTTGAGTGAGATGAAATCTTAGTGTTATTTTGATTTGCGTTTTCCTGATTGATAGTGATATTGAAAATTTTTATATATTGTTAGTCATTTCAGTTTCTTCTTTTGAGAAAGATCTGTTTAGCTCCTTTGACCATTTATTGACTGGGCTATTTGAATTTTTGGTGGTAAGCTTTTTGAGTTGTTTATATATTCTGGATATTAATCCCTGTCAGAGGAGCAGAAGGCAAAGATCTTGTATTGTTTCATTGGCTCTCTCTTCATGTTCTCAATCATTTCCTTTGCTGTGCAGAAGCTTTACAATTCGATACCATCCCACTTACTAATTCTTGGTTTTATTAATTGAACTTGTTAGGGAAGTTGTTTACTGCATTGATGTCATGCACATTGACCCTAAGTTTTCTTCTAGCAGTTGCAAAGTTTCTATTCTAATTCCTAATTCTTTGACCTATTTTTACTTTTCTTTCTTTCTTTCTTTAAAAAAAAAAACAAAAACAAAAAAACTTTTTTTGGTATGGAAGATTGAACTCAGGGACACTCAACAACTGAGCCACATCCCCAGCCCTATTTTTTTTTTTGTATTTTATTTAGAGGCAGGGTCTCACTGGGTTCTTTAGCACCTCAATTTTGCTGAGGCTGTCTTTGAACTCGTGGTTGGTCCTCTTGTCTCAGCCTCCCAAGACACTGGGATCACAGGCGTACACCTTCACCCCTGGCTCTTTGTTTCTTCTTGATATGACTTTTGTGCATGATAAGAGAGAGGGATCTCTTTTACATATGGCCATCCAGATTTCCCAGCACCATTTTAAAAAGACTGTCTTTCTCCAACATTCATTTCTGGCTCTATTTGTCAAGTATCATGTGACTGTAAGTCTGTGGGTTTATTTCTGGGTCTCCTATTCTATTCCATTGAATATGGTCTTCATGTCTATTTTGATGCCCATACCATGTCATTTTTGTTACTGTAGCTCTGTAGCTACAGAGATACCTGATTTGAGATCAGGTGTTATGCTGCCTCCTGCATCGATCTTCTTGCTCAGGATTTCTTTGGCTATTCTGAGTTACTTAGTTTTACATATTAAATAAGTACTGTTTTTTTTTTTTTTTGTAGTTCTGTGAAGAATGTTATTAGCGTTTTGATAGGGATTGCATTGAACATATGTATTGCTTCTGGTAGTATGGCCATTTTGATTAATTTTGCTTATCCAAAACATGGGAGGTATTTTAGTCTTCTAAGGTTTTCTTCAATTTATTCACTTTTTAAAATCATTTTCATTACAGAGATCATTTACTTCCTTGATTAGATTAATTCCCAAGGGTCTTGAGGTTTTTGTTGTTGCTGCTGTTATTGCTTTTATTTTTAGTTTCTTGGGAAAGGTATGGTTTTCCTGATTACTTTCTCAGAAAAATTGCTGATGGTGTATAAGAAAGATGTTGACTTATGGGTGTTGATCCTGTATGCTGATAGTATGCCAATTCCATTTATTGATCTAGAAGTATTCTGGTAGAGTTTTGGGGTCTTTTAGATGATATCTGAAAAACGAGAGTTTGACTTATTTTCAAATTTCAATCAAATTTCTTCTCTGCCTGATTTATCTGACTAGAGTTTCCTGAATTGTATTGAAGAGAAATGGGGAGAATGGACATTCTTGTCTTGTTTCTAAATTTAGAGGCAATGCTTTGAGTTTATTTTTTTTTTTCCATTCAATTTGAGGTTGACTTAGGGTTTGTCATATATCACCATTACAAGGTTGAGGTAAGGGTTCCTTCTATTCTCCGCTTCTCCATCATTTATACTATGGATGGAGGCTGGTTTTATTAAGTCTTTTTTGCATCTATTGATTCAATCACATAATTCTTTCCTTAGTTCTATTTATTTTGTGAATTACATTTATTGGTTTTCACATGTTGAACCAACTGGGATGTATTATCTTCTTGATGTGTTTTTTTACATGTTTTGCTAATATTTTATTGATGAGTTTTTCATGTATGTTCTTTGGGGATATTAGTTTGTAGTTTTATTTTTCCTTGATGTGTCTTTGTCTGTTTTTGTTATTAGGGTTGCACTGTCTTCATAGAATGTATTTGGGTACATTTCCTTCCTTTGATTTCATGAAATAATTAGAGAAAATTGGTGTTATTCTTTCTTTAAAGTTCTGGAAGAACTCAGCTGAGGATTCATCTGGTCCTGGGATTTGTTGAAAATATTTTAATTCTGTTTAAATGTATAGTCTGCTTTGGTTTTCTATGTCTTTCTGTTTGAAATTAGTCAGGTCGTATATGTCTAGAAAATTGTCAATGACTTCTGTTTTCTAGTTTATTGTAAGGTAAAATTTCAAAATAGATTTTATTTTTTGGATGATTTTCTGGATTCCATAAGTGTCTGTGGTGATATCTGTAATTTTTTTTTTTAATTTGGGTCTTCTCTCTTTCTTTTGATCAGTTTTGCTAAGTGTTTATTAAGGTTATTTATCTTTTGGAAGAAACAATTCTTTGTTGCATTGTTTCTGTGGATTTTTTTCTTATTATTCATATAATTAATTTCATCTGTAATATTAATTATTTTCTATCTTCTGCTGACTTTTAGAATTAGTTTGTTCCTTTTCTAAGACCTTGAGGTGGAGCATAACTTATTTATTTGGGGTCTCTCTCTCTCTCTCTCTCTCTTTTAATGTAGGCACTCAGTGCTATAAATTTTCCTCTTAGAACTGCTTTCTTATTGTCACAGAAATTTTGATATATTGTATCACAGTTCTCATTTATTAATAAAAATTTCTTGATTTTTCTCATTTCTTTTATTATTCATTCTTCATTATTCACTCCTCATGTGTTTATGTGCTTTCTAGCATTTCCTTGTGGTT